AATCTAACTACTAACTTTCTGTACGTGCCAAGTGTACACGCCTCGTTACAGCGGACCAAACTGTAACAGCCTCTGAAGAATGAGATCACGGGTTCGAGCCCCGACCACCTGAGCCCAAGGTGAAAGCATATTGGTGTTCCTTGACAAAAAGGAGCTAGCTTTAGTGGTTGGGTGAACTCGATCCCTACACCCTGTGTTTGGCAGTCCTGCACCTAAACCTACTGAGCTAGCTCCCACTTCGAGTAAAAGGGGAGCAACTTAGTTCATAAACAGTAGCGGGGCTCAGCCCGACCAGTGGACTGGGCCCGTTTTTCATAAGTTAGTGTGTGTGCACGCTTGCTGGTTCGCAAGCCTGTCTGATTGCTTGTCGGCTCGAGTGTATGCGTGACCCGCAAGGGCACTTGATTCATCTGTTGGCCCAAAGGGCCGGTACTTGCCTGCGGCCGTGACATTGAGGGTTGCGGCACGGAAAACATTCAAGTGGCGGGGAAAGAGGTCCGCGACACTTCAGAGCAGCGGAAAATACTCACATAGCGGATAACGGTATCACACCAAGTAGAGGTAGATGTGCCCGACCCTCGAGGCCGCGGAAAGGAAGACAACAGTTGACATTTTTAGAGGGCCAACACCAGCCGTCGCCGCTTGGTGTGGTGGTGGCACATTTCTATTGGCTGCCCTGGCCGCGCGGCGGGGACTTATATTATTATTTCAGTCCGCTTCGGCGGCGCAACGACCAGATTTTCCCGTACCGGTTGGTCCGACGTCTCTAGACTCGATCTAATTTGTTTTTCCCTTACCGCCTGAACCTTTGACTGATTTAGTTCGTGGTCGATGCATCCCACACGACCTTTTTTTGTCCTCATCCAATCCTCCGGCTCTTGTGGCCGGAGACTTTTAATTTTTACTAACCCTTACCTGTTGTCGTATGCGTCGTATCACTGTGTATGATTGTCTAGAAATCTCGACCTCAATGGTCGAGAAGTTTGCTTCACGGCGCTATGCCAAAAAAATTCTCACTTTTTACTCCATCCTGTCTCCGACACGGTGACCTGCGCCGATACTGCATCGAATGCAAAATCATGAGCAAATACCCTTGTAAGGGTGTTTGCTCCGACAACGCCATCAACCACGGGTGCTTCTGCTCCGTACGCAGACAATGCGAGAAAAAGGTGCAAGACTGCCACTCTCACGACCCTCCATCTTCATTGTCTCTGTCGTCCTTCCTTTCGTCTTCGACAGGTCCCGTCACCCTCCAGTCCATCCTCGCCACCACGTCAGGGTCCGTTAAACCCATTGTGGTTGAAGCACACTCCGCATGCCGCCCACTCCGGGATGTAGTTAGGAAACGCACCCAACGTCAAGGGCGGCTTCCCAAGCCGAGAGAGAATAACATTCCCGGAGCTCACAATATGCCTGTGTCAGTTGAACGACTGCAAACCCTGCCGCCAACAGTGTGGGCGTCGCGACGAGCTGCGAGTAGTAAGACGCCTCCTCATGAGATCGGACGTCGTCGCTACTCATACGTATGATCCACATGCGCATAGCAAGAAGGAGGCGGAGGGCATCCGCGATTCTGTTCAACCTCGACTAGGACATTTTCCCATTGTCGGACCATTGGCTGTCGCGGAGCGCGTCTTCGAAGCACGACGCCAAACGTAAGACCGTGGACTCCTTGTGGGCAGCCATGTCATCGTCCTCCGGCCTGTCCTCGATGCGCCCCAGCATACCTCAACGGAATGTCCATCTTCAGGATGACCGTGTGATAAACCACGCTGGGAAAGACCACCCTCGACCACTAGGACTGCCACACTCCTCTCACCAGATCCGTGGGGCAGAGGTCGCCAAACCAATTTTTTCTCCCACCCACATCCGACCCAGTCCAAGCCTGGATATATCACATGTACCCTCACCCACTGCCACCCACGTAAATACAAATTTTTTTACCCAGACCCAGCCCACCCAAGCTAATTAAATTTGTTTTTTACTCGTACCCAGCCCACCCAGCATCTTCAGTGAAACCCTTACCCCTACCCAGCCATACCCAGGCCTAGATTTAATCCACCCGCATCCGCCGGCACCCACGACCAATTTCCATCCACCCGTGCCCGCCCGTATCCATGCCTAAAGTTTACCACCCAGCAAGCATGCCCTTCTTTTCTTCCGTAATTTCAAACTCAGGTCATTGTCATTGCATGTTAGAAATTCACCTTCCATCCACAAACTACCGCACTCACCATAACTTTGTTTGCAATTCGACAACACATTTAAACACTTCAAGTTAATTTTGAGAAAATGACAAGCATATCAAACATTTCTACGAGGTGCAAAGGACCAAATGTGAGTCAAGGAACTTTTTTTTCCCCTTCAAAAAGACCAAGTGGCCTCTCTCTCTCTCTCTCTCTCTCTCTCTCTCTCTCTCTCTCTCTCTCTCTCTCTCTCTCTCTCTCTCTCNCTCTCTCTCTCTCTCTCTCTCTCTCTCTCTCTCTCTCTCTCTCTCTCTCTCTCTCTCTCTCTCTCTCGTGAAGCGCGCGAAAGTCACCACGTTTGTGGGCTCGCCGCTGCACGTGCATAGGCATGCCCCATCAACCTCGCCAATGTTGCCATGCTTTCGCGCCTGCCTTCGCCATGCTCGGCGCTCGCCATCGCCACGCTTGTTTTTTTTACGCTTGCAGCGCTTGCCATGACGCTTGCAATATCGTGCGTGCTTGTATGCCGGGTTTCCTCGCTACGCTCGTTTGCAAGGACGCTTGCGCTGCATGGCACCGTACGACGTTGGACTGTCGTTGCTGTGGTCGGAGAAACCCAGCGCCCCGCCGCCAATCGAAGCTTCGAAGAAGTTTCGAAGTTCAACTTCAAATTTTTGGCGGCGTGATACTACGGAGGGTTACAGAGGCTAGGTATTCAGCCTATTAGGTGGCCTTGCTCTAGCACTCACTAAATCAGTAAAATGAGTATGAATCTTCCGCCACATACTCAGTTTACTGATTTAGTGAGTGTTGGAGCGAGGCCCGTTGGTCAGCCACAGCTGCCACAACGGTCAAAAAGAAAAAACCATCGGAGGAAAGGGACCCTAATACCCCTATACCTGCGACCTGGTGGTGAAAAATAGAGAAGCCAGACCAATTTAAAATTGTGGCCTGGTCCTAATTCTACGTACCACCTAGTACCTACTAGGCTACTACCTATAGGCTATAGGTCCTATACTAGTATACTACTATAGTGGCCTACAGGCTCCGGGTCACCCAGGCCAAACCTCCACCCAGCCGTACCTGCCCAGGCGTTTTTTCAACACCCAGCCAAGCCCGATCATGCCCCCTCGAAACTTTCCCAACCCACCCAAATTCCACCAGCACATTTTCACACCCAGCCGGACCAGCCCATCGCCTTTCCGCCATACCCGCAACCGTCCAAAACTGCCGGTTACGGCTGGATACGGTCGGGTCGGGTCACGGCCACCCGTTGGCGACCTCTGTCGTGGGGTAATTAACGGAGACATACGACTCCATGCGGACGAAACCATCGGATCTGGAAGGGGACCTAAAGATCCAGTCGTGGATCACGCGAATTGCCATATTCTATGTCTTCCTCGCCCTGCGAAGAGCTGGCTCGAGCTGAGCTGGATCATCGATCCGGAAGCAGGGGATGTCGTTGGTTGGCATGTTTAGGCTTGTGGGAGCGCTGACGCCAACATCACCATTGACAATTGTGCAGCAGTAGTCTGCGCAAGAGTGCACGATGTCGGCGATGAGGCGACCAGGTCCGGTCCCCCATAATGTCTCTCTGTCTGTCCACAGCTTGGACTTTGCGTCCAAGTCCTCCTCCTGCCGCGATCTTTTCTTCCTGTTGGTGAGACGTTCGTCGTCATTGTTGTCAGCCCGCGGAGTACGCTCCGTCGTCTCGTCTTTTCGGCCCGCCTTCTCATGCCTCCCTTCTTCTTGCCTCTCCCCATCGGTGCTGGTGGCGCTTTGGATGGTCACGCTTCCCACGTTTGTCAATGGAATTACCCTGGCCAATGAGCCAGTGACGATGTTCGACGGATTGACACGACGAGCTTGTGCAGCCTGGAGAGGTCCTTTGTCGGCTCGTGGAACTGTGGACAGCAGTGTCACCACTAGAGTGACAGGTCTTGACCTTCAAATTCGTCGACGACAATCCCTTGTGCGCACTCCACGCGACCTTTTGGACTTTGGTACGTGTCCCCTTCCGATCTGCCCGCCCCCGCCTTCGCCGGATCCACTGTCTCGCGTTTTGGGATGGGACTGTCCATGTGGCCCCATGAGTTGTCGATGGATCTCGCCTCTCCTAAAACGAATAGCGGACGAGAGTGCCACGTCATGCCTACACCGCTGCGGAGAGTTTGGTGATTGCTCGCCTACGAATGCAGCGATGGACGTACCTGTCGTCGCACGACGAAGCACGACGATGAGGCACGAGAAGACATACGCGTTGCGGCGCCCTGCACATGCTGCGAATCACACCCGCGTCAGTCCTTTATACTTGCGTGACCGTTCCGTGCCCCGGCGTGCTTCCGGCAGGATGGGGTTTATTTCATCGCCTTGCGCAAGCGATCGTAGTCCTTCCGCTACCACTTGAAGACCAAGATCCAAAGGTCGCTACATCCATGCAAAGTGACTGCCTGCCCGCTTCATCGGTGTGGACTCCTTGGAGATGGACGTCGACCAAGCCTTTTTCCCGCCTCCAGGACGGCCTAGCACCCCAAGCCACCCTTCCGCACTTCAAAAAAATTCCTACCCCTCGGTCTTCCCACCCCAACTTGCAAGAAGCCCTCCGAACAACCCCCCTCCCCCGATACCTTCGCCCCTCCCTGACGATCGGTCCATCCACCAGCCCCGAGTCCTTGCATGTGTGCTTGTTTGTTGATGCAGGCAGGCTCTCTCTGTCTCTCTCTCACACTTTGTGTGTGTGTGTGTGTGTGTGTGTGTGTGTGTGTGTGTGTGTGTGTGTGTGTGTGTGTGTGTGTGAGAGAGAGAGAGAGAGAGAGAGA